CCGTGTAGTTCTGGGCTGATTCCTCACCGTTCTCATAATTGCAACTCCACGAGGTGAGATCTTGCATGGAGCCCCAGGCCGAGGGAGACTGACAGTTCTTTTGTGTTTCTTCCATTTGCGAATAATCGCACCAACTGTTGTCACCTTCTCACCAAGCTGCTTGGCAATGGTCTTGTAGCCCAATCCAGCCTTGTGTAGGTCTACAATCTTGGCCCTGACATCTTTGGAGAGCTCTTTGGTCTTGGCGATGGTGGAGAGTTTGGAATCTGATTTATTGTTTCTGTGGACAGGTGTCTTTTTTACAGGTAACAAGCTGAGATTAGGAGCACTCCCTTTAAGAGTGTGCTCATCTCAGCTCGTTACCTGTATAAAATACACCTGGGAGCCAGAAATCTTTCTGATTCAGAGGGGTCAAATACTTATTTCCCTCATTAAAATGCAAATCAATTTATAAAAATTTTGACATGCGTTTTTCTGGATATTTTGTTATTCTGTCTATCACTGTTCAAATGAACCTATTAAAATTATAGACTGATCATTTCTTTGTCAATGGGCAAACGTACAAAATCAGCAGGGGATCAAATACTTTTTTCCCTCACTGTACATGGCCCAGCCAACGCAGCCTTGCCTGCCGGAAGAGCTCACCGATGGGACTTTCAAGGATTTGTGAGCTCCTCTCACAATCCAGCCTGGTTAAACCCAGGAGGGATCGTAGGCAGGCCAACCTAAATGTTTTAACCGGCGAAGATTTACCATTAAGGGGGTCCACGTTTCGCAAGCGAAGAGAAGGGAGGGAATGACCGTGGCCGAGAAGACCTGAAGCTTCGTGCGGAGCGACAGACCAGGTAGCTTCCACACAGCGTTACGCAACCGATGAAAAGATAATCCTGCTCGATTGATTCGGAGTGAGACTTCTGCTGTTAAACCGGAGCCGGTCATGCACACACACACACTAGCATACACAGGTGTACATAAGAACAAAGATCCCCCATACAGCCTGTAGCAGACTGTTGGGGCAATTGCTGTTAGGGAGCACCTTTGAAGGCCGGCTCGCCACACGAAGGGGGTGGGATGTGTGTGCCCAGAACCACGCCCGGCCGCCTTTGTCTCCCCGGGGCCGATGTTTGCACGCAGCGTTGATGTTCTGGAGCGGGGGCCAGAGCTCGGTGCGCTCGCTGCAGCGGCCGCCGCTCCCCGCGCATCGATGGGCACGTGCAGGGACGGGATTCGCCGTCGACACGGCCGTCGGACCGTCCCGAATGGGCTGCAGGAATTGTTCCCGGAGCTTCATAAAAATGAAGGCTGCAAAGTCGGTCCTAGACCGCTGTGGACGACGCACGGCGGGGGGCGGGGAAGCACTTGCCGCCGACGCACGCGAGCGAGCGTGCGGAGGGGGAGCGCCGGCGCAGCAGCGGCGAGCGCTACGAACCCCGGCGACCCGAGTTCGATTCCCGCTCACGGCCAACACCGGTGACGATTATCCGAACCGGTCCTGGGCCTCCCCCAGGTCTGCTCGGCCTCAAATTGAGTACCCGGTGCGGTGCGTAGTAAAACATCGCCACCGGGGAGACAAAGGCGGCCGGGCGTGGTGCTGGCCACCCACCCACAGTGCCGGTAGCCTTCATCGGTGCTGCTCGCTAACAGCACTTGCCCCGACAGTCTGTAACAGGCTACACGGCCTGCATTCCGCTAGACATTGCCACGCGATGACGACGACGACGATGATCATCATCATCATCATCAGCCGACACAGCGTTGAGCTGCTATCATTTGCGTTGGCCTGGGTCGCTTGTGAACAAAAGAGTTACACAGCTCAGTTGGGGGTGGTGGTGGGGGATCTTTGTGTTGCGTGTTCAACTTCTTTCGCGCCGCACGCACAGCAAAACACCGCGAAGCCGCGCCGGATAGCCGACGCCGCCGCCACAGGAGACGGGACCCCAGCTCAGTGGTGGTGGTGGTGGTGGGGGGCGCTATTTTATTGAACAAAAAAAAAATACCCGACGCAATATTTCATAAACGCTTCGAGCCGAACGAATGAGCGTCCGGAATACGTTGACGGGTCATCCCATCAGGTCACGCGGGGGAAGGTCGTAGCGGCCAACTCGCCGCTCCCGCCCCCCCCCCCCCCCCCCCTTAAGGACGATCCAATATGAACCGAACGTTCGCGTGGAGCTGCTGTGTTGCCGCGACCGCGGGGGGGGGGGGGGGGGGGGGGGGAGCGAGCCGTCCGCGGCCGTCCCGAGCGCAGACCCCTCCGGGTGTGCGTGTGTACTGGCGGGCGTGTGTGCGTGTGTGCGTGTGTGTGTACTGGCGTGTGTGTGTACTGGCGGGCGTGTGTGCGTGTGTGTGTACTGGCGGGCGTGTGTGCGTGTGTGTGTACTGGCGTGCGTGTGTGCGTGTGTGTACTGGCGTGTGTACTGGCGTGTGTGTACTGGCGGGCGTGTGTACTGGCGTGTGTACTGGCGTGCGTGTGTGCGTGTGTGTGTACTGGCGTGTGTGTGTACTGGCGGGCGTGTGTGCGTGTGTGTACTGGCGTGTGTGTGTACTGGCGTGTGTGTGTACTGGCGTGTGTGTGTACTGGCGGGCGTGTGTGCGTGTACTGGCGTGTGTGTGTACTGGCGTGTGTACTGGCGTGCGTGTGTGCGTGTGTGTACTGGCGTGCGTGTGTGCGTGTGCGTGTACTGGTGTGCGTGTGTACTGGCGTGCGTGTGCGTGTACTGGCGTGCGTGTGCGTGTACTGGCTTGCGCGTGTGCGTGTACTGGCGTGCGTGTGCGTGTACTGGCGTGCGTGTGTGCGTGTGCGTGTACTGGCGTGCGTGTGTGCGTGTACTGGCGTGCGCGTGTGTGTGTACTGGTGTGCGTGTACTGGCGTGCGTGTGCGTGTACTGGCGTGCGTGTGTGCGTGTACGTGTACTGGCGTGCGCGTGTGCGTGTACTGGCGTGCGTGTACTGGCGTGCGAGTTCAATTCACCCGCGGGCCCGGGGCTATGACGAGAAGTGTCCGAACCGATAGCCTACCCACCACTTCTTCACCGACCCGCGCTGACCCAACGTGGTGAAGTATGGTCAAACAGCCCCCCCCCCCCACCCTACTACGACCGACACGACTGGGAAAAGGCCTTCGTCCGGCAGTAGATTAACAAAGGGTTGTATCATCATATGTACATGGTACTCTGCGTACACGTGAGAGTGCGTGCGTGTGTGTGTACTGGTGCATGCGTGTGTACTGGCGTGCTTGTGTGTGCGTGTGTACTGGCGTGCGTGTGTGTACTGGTGTGTGTGTACTGGTGTGTGTGTGTACTGGCGTGCGTGTGTGTCCTGGCGTGTGTGTGCTGGCGTGTGTGTGTGTACTGGCGTGCGTGTGTGTGCTGGCGTGCGTGTGTGTACTGGCGTGCGTGTGTGTACTGGCGCGTGTGTGTGTACTGGTGCGTGCGTGTGTACTGGCGTGCGTGTGTGTGTGTACTGGCGCGTGTGTGTGCTAGCGTGCGTGTGTGTACTGGCGCGTGCGTGTGTACTGGCGCGTGCGTGCGTGTACTGGCGTGCGTGTGTGTACTGGCGTGCGTGTGTGTGTGTACTGGCGTGCGTGTGTGTGTGTACTGGCGTGTGTGCGTGTATTGGCGTGCGTGCGTGCGCACAGCGAGTCCTCGTTTAACGTGCAAGTTCCTGGAAAGTGCCCCGCTAAGCGAAAACAATTTCCCCATAAATGATGTAACGATGATAAAGTGTGGTTCGAACGTCCCGCGTTACAACGGGGTTCGTTTACAACAGCGCTCGCCCCGCATCACAACGCCGCTGGCCCCGCGTCACAACGCCGCTGGCCCCGCGTCACAACGCCGCTCGCCCAAGCGTCACGACGGCGGGCGCCCCGCGTTGTGCAAAAAGGCGTTCCCAAATGGCAGAAGCGCGTTACAGCGAACGCCGCTAACCAGTGCGAACACGGCTTAAGCGAGGACTTGCCGCACGTGAGTGTGTGTGTGTACTGTGGACACGCACGCCCTACGCCGTACATGAGTTGGTGCGCGTGCGCGCGTGCGTGCGTACTTGTGTACGTCGGGAGCGGTAGCGTAGCGGTTAGGGGCCACCCATTTAGTACGTACGCAAAAATCTGTCGAAATTTGACCCCTCCCCCCCGTTCCAAACCCCCGCGTACGTTCGCTTGACGCACGCCCCCAACCCCCCATAATCCTACAGAACGGCCGATATTTTGTGTCGGTTCAAAGGATCTATTCTTTTCTTTGAACCTATCTACGTGACTTTACCGAAACACCCAGAGAATATGAATTCCGGCAGTCGAGATTTAAACGTCTATTGTGATCTTAAAAACACAAACTCGGCGAACATCTGCTGTGACAGCAGCCCCATGTTCAGACCAGAGTCAGTACCGATGTCCGGGCAGCAGCAGTAGCAGCGGCACTAACACGGATCACCGCAGCAGCGAAAACCTCGAGCCAGCGGCAGTCCGCAGTGAGGCCAGATTGAAGGATGTGCGGTGATCCATGGCGGGGCGGGCCTGCCAGACGATGTCAGACTCACTGCTGAGCTGCGTGATAGCCGCAGTCAGGTGACACCTCTCCCACAGGCCCACTTCGCACGGTGGTACAGCTGAAGAAACTGGACTGTGGCTCATTTGAAGGCCAATGTAGACAAATTGTTATCCTTCAACACCACCCCCCCCCCCACCGTTTCCGATGCGTACACACATTGTCAGTAGACCCCCCCCCATACGCAAGCGAACGCATTTGGGTTCACTCCCTCCCCACCCCCCTCCATACGTACGAAATAGATAGCCCCTTAGCGCTGCGAACCCGCCGACCAGGGTTCGATTCCCGCTCACGGCCACCACGAACACCACCGCTGACGATTATCTGAACCGGTGCTGATGCCTCCTCCCCCTAGGTCGGCTCGGCCTCAAAATGAGTATCTGGTGCGACGTGCAGTAAAACATCGCCACCGGGGGAGACAAAGGCGGCCGGGCGTGGTGCTGGCACACCCCGCCCCCCTCGTGTGCCGCAGCGCCGGCCTTCGTAGGGGTGCTGCTGCTGCTGCTGCTCGCTAACAGCGCTCGCCCCAACAATCTGTCAAGGCTGTAACGGGGAAATCGCCGGCGCCGCCGTCGCCGCCGCCCTACATGGTGAGGGAGATGTCCGTCAGCGCCCTCTGCAGGATGGTGCTCGCCCTCCCGCTGGGCAGCAGCTCCTTGGCCTGCAGCTCCTCGACGAGTTCACGGAGGTCGCGCCAGCGGCGCTCGGCCCGGCGGGCGCGCTGCCGGCACAGCTTCAGCTTGCGCCGCGCCCCCTCCAGCTCCTCCTCGAGCCGCACGATCTTGCGCTTGGCCACGCCGGGCGTCCCCAGCGAGTAGTTGTGCTCGAGGCCGACGCCGCGAGGCGCCGGCGGGGCGCACACGCCCGCCACCGACAGGAGGCGCCCCACCGTCGCCACGGCGCTCGCCCGGCTCGGGGCGCCGGCGGCGTCGGCCGGCGAGTCGCCGTCGCGGCCGTCGTGGCCGTCGTGGCCGGGGCTCGGCATGAAGTGCGTGGCGTTGACGAAGGTGGCCAGCTCGCCGGCGACAGAGCCGTCATCCAGGAGCTTGACGCGCCGGCGCCGCCGCTTGGGGTGAGGGGACGCGGCGGCGGCAGCGGGGTCAGCGGCGGGGTCGGCGGCGGGGTCGGCGCCATCTCCCGGCTGCGGCTGCTGCAGCTGCGGGTCCAGCTGCGGCTGCGGCTGTTCCAGCAGCAGCAGCTGCTGGAGCTGCTGCTGCTGTAGCTGCAGCTCATACTGCTGCTCCTGCTCCTGAGACAGCGGCTGTAACTGCGGTGGCAGCTGGGACTGTGATTCTTCCTCCTCCTCCTGCTGCTGCTGCTGCAGTTGCAGCTGCAGCTTCTTTTTCTTGAGTCGCCGTCGGGAGGTGGAGGCCTGGAGGAGAGAGAGAGAGACGGAGGCTACGTGGGGTGGTCTCTGTGTGTCTGTGCGTCTCTGTGTCTGTCTGTGCGCCTCTGTGTGTGTCTGTGCGTCCCTGTGTCTGGGTGTCTCTGTGTCTGTGTGTGTCTCTGTGTGTCTGTCTGTCTGTGCGTCCCTGTGTCTGGGTGTCTCTGTGTCTGTCTGTGCGTCACTGTGTGTGTCTGTGCGTCACTGTGTGTGTCTGTGCGTCACTGTGTGTCTGGGCGTCTCTGTGTCTGTCTGTGTGTCTGTCTGTGCGTCTCTGTGTGTCTGTGCGTCTCTGTGTCTATGTGTCTGTGCGTCACTGTGTCTGTGTGTCTGTGCGTCACTGTGTCTGTCTGTGCGTCTGTGTCTGGGTGTGCGTCTCTGTGTCTCTGTATGTCTGTGCGTCTCTGTGTCTGGGCGTCTCTGTGTGTCTGTGTGTCCCTGTGTGTGTCTGTGCGTCCCTGTGTCTGGGTGTCTCTGTGTCTGTCCGTCTCTGTGTGTGTCTGTCTCTGTGTCTGTGCGTCTCTGTGTGTCTGTGCATCCCTGTGTGTCTGTGCGTCTCTGTGTGTCTGTGCGTCTGTGTGTCTGTCTGTGCATCTCTGTGTGTCTGTGCGTCTCTGTGTCTGTCTGTGTGTCTCTGTGCGTCCCTGTGTCTGGGTGTCTCTGTGTGTGTCTGTGTGTCACTGTGTGTCTATGCGTCTCTGTGTCTGTGCGTCACTGTGTGCCTGTGCGTCTCTGTGTGTGTCTGTGCGTCCCTGTGTCTGTGCGTCTCTGTGTCTGTCTGTGTCTGTGCGTCTCTGTGTCTGTGCGTCTCTGTGTGTCTGTCTGTTCCTGTGTGTCTGTGCATCTGTGTGTCTCTGTGTGTCTGTGCGTCTCTGTGTGTCTCTGTGTCTGTCTGTGTGTCCCTGTGTGTGTCTGTGCGTCCCTGTGTCTGTCTGTGTGTCTCTGTGTTTGTCTGTGCGTCTCTGTGTTTCTCTGTGTGTGTCTGTGCGTCTGTGTGTCTGTGCGTCTCTGTGTGTCTCTGTGTCTGTGTGTCTGTGCGTCTCTGTGTCTGTCTGTGTCTCTGTGTCTGTGTGTCTGTGCGTCTCTGTGCGTCACTGTGTCTGTGCGTCTTTGTGTGTCTGTGCGTCTCTGTGTGTCTGTGCATCACTGTGTGTCTGTGCGTCACTGTGTGTCTGTGCGTCTCTGTGTGTCTCTGTGTGTCAGGGCCTCTCTGTGAGTCTGTGTCTCTGTGTGTCTGGGCGTCTGTGTGTCTGTCTGTGCATCTCTGTGTGTCTGTGCGTCTCTGTGTCTGTCTGTGCGTCTGTGTCTGGGTGTGCGTCTCTGTGTCTGTGTCTCTGTATGTCTGTGCGTCTCTGTGTCTGGGCGTCTCTGTGTGTCTGTGTGTCCCTGTGTGTGTCTGTGCGTCCCTGTGTCTGGGTGTCTCTGTGTCTGTCCGTCTCTATGTGTGTCTGTCTCTGTGTCTGTGCGTCTCTGTGTGTCTGTGCGTCCCTGTGTGTCTGTGCGTCTCTGTGTGTCTGTGCGTCTGTGTGTCTGTCTGTGCATCTCTGTGTGTCTGTGCGTCTCTGTGTCTGTCTGTGTGTCTCTGTGCGTCCCTGTGTCTGGGTGTCTCTGTGTGTGTCTGTGTGTCACTGTGTGTCTATGCGTCTCTGTGTCTGTGCGTCACTGTGTGCCTGTGCGTCTCTGTGTGTGTCTGTGCGTCCCTGTGTCTGTGCGTCTCTGTGTCTGTGCGTCTCTGTGTGTCTGTCTGTTCCTGTGTGTCTGTGCATCTGTGTGTCTCTGTGTGTCTGTGTGTCTCTGTGTCTGTGCGTCTGTGTGTCTGTGCGTCTCTGTGTGTCTCTGTGTCTGTCTGTGTGTCCCTGTGTGTGTCTGTGCGTCCCTGTGTCTGTCTGTGTGTCTCTGTGTTTGTCTGTGTTTCTCTGTGTGTCTGTGCGTCTGTGTGTCTGTGCGTCTCTGTGTGTCTCTGTGTCTGTGCGTCTGTGTGTCTGTGCGTCTCTGTGTGTCTCTGTGTCTGTCTGTGTGTCTGTGCGTCTGTGTGTCTGTGCGTCTCTGTGTGTCTGTGTGTCTCTGTGTCTGTCTGTGTCTCTGTGTCTGTGTGTCTGTGCGTCTCTGTGCGTCACTGTGTCTGTGCGTCTTTGTGTGTCTGTGCGTCTCTGTGTGTCTGTGCGTCACTGTGTGTCTGTGCGTCACTGTGTGTCTGTGCGTCTCTGTGTGTCTCTGTGTGTCTGGGCCTCTCTGTGAGTCTGTGTCTCTGTGTGTCTGGGCGTCTGTGTGTGTCTGGGCGTCTCTGTGTGTCTGTGCGTCTCTGTGTCTGTCTGTGCGTCTGTGTCTGGGTGTGCGTCTCTGTGTCTGTGTCTCTGTATGTCTGTGCGTCTCTGTGTCTGGGCGTCTCTGTGTGTCTGTGTGTCCCTGTGTGTGTCTGTGCGTCCCTGTGTCTGGGTGTCTCTGTGTCTGTCCGTCTCTGTGTGTGTCTGTCTCTGTGTCTGTGCGTCTCTGTGTGTCTGTGCGTCCCTGTGTGTCTCTGTGTGTCTGTGCGTCTGTGTGTCTGTCTGTGCATCTCTGTGTGTCTGTGCGTCTCTGTGTCTGTCTGTGTGTCTCTGTGCGTCCCTGTGTCTGGGTGTCTCTGTGTGTGTCTGTGTGTCACTGTGTGTCTATGCGTCTCTGTGTCTGTGCGTCTCTGTGTGTGTCTGTGCGTCCCTGTGTCTGTGCGTCTCTGTGTCTGGTCGTCTCTGTGTCTGTGCGTCTCTGTGTGTCTGTCTGTTCCTGTGTGTCTGTGCATCTGTGTGTCTCTGTGTGTCTGTGTGTCTCTGTGTCTGTGCGTCTGTGTGTCTGTGCGTCTCTGTGTGTCTCTGTGTCTGTCTGTGTGTCCCTGTGTGTGTCTGTGCGTCCCTGTGTCTGTCTGTGTGTCTCTGTGTTTGTCTGTGCGTCTCTGTGTTTCTCTGTGTGTCTGTGCGTCTGTGTGTCTGTGCGTCTCTGTGTGTCTCTGTGTCTGTGCGTCTGTGTGTCTGTGTGTCTTTGTGTGTCTGTGCGTCTCTGTGTGTCTGTGCGTCACTGTGTGTCTGTGCGTCACTGTGTGTCTGTGCGTCTCTGTGTGTCTCTGTGTGTCTGGGCCTCTCTGTGAGTCTGTGTCTCTGTGTGTCTGGGCGTCTGTGTGTGTCTGGGCGTCTCTGTGTCTGTGCGTCCCTGTCTCTATGTCTGTGCGTGCACAAGCGAGTGGAGAGAGGTGCTACAGCGGTTAGCGCTACGGTGCGCTTAGAAACCCGGCGACCCAGGTTCGATTCCCGCTCACGACCAACACCAGTGACGATTATCTGAACCGGTCCTGGGCCTCGCCTAGGTCGACGCAGCCTCAAATGAGTACCTGGTGCGGTGTTGAGTAAACATCTCCACTGGGGAGACAAAGGCAGTCGAGCGAGATGCTGGCCACCCACCCCCCGTCACGTGCCGTACCGGGCTTCATAGGTGCCCGTTAACAGCACTTGCCCCAACAGTCTGTTCGGGCTACACGGGGGGTCTTTGTCTGTGTGGTGCCGGACGGTAACACCGTGGACCTGAGCAATGTTCACGGAAGCAACGCTGAATCTCTCATGGAGCTCATAGCCACCGCAGCGGCCAAACGGGGGCTCTGGATGGGTGTGGGGGGCCCAGTGACCCCTCCACCTTCACTCAAGTTCGTGCAAAATATCGCACTCGGCTTGGCCCTAAAGTGCACATAGCCTGGTACAAGCGCCGTGGTGACGTCACCGGCACTTCATGGTGAATGGCGGTTGTTGTTGTTGTCTGTGTATGCTTCTGTGCAGAGACACTTGGAGACGCACGCGCAGACACGTGCTCACAGACGACGCGCTCACAGACGACACGCAGACGACACGCAGACGACACGCGTGCTTGCAAGACGACACTCTCACAGACGACACACAGACGACACTCTCACAGACGACACTCTCACAGACGACACTCTCACAGACGACACACAGACGACACTCTCACAGACGACACGCTCACAGACGACACTCTCACAGACGACACGCTTGCTCACAGACGACACGCTCACAGACGACACTCTCACAGACGACACACAGACGACACTCTCACAGACGACACGCTCACAGACGACACGCGTGCTCACAGACGACATGCTCACAGACGACACTCTCACAGACGACACACATGCTCACAGATGACACACGTGCTCATAGACGACACACTCACAGACGACACTCTCACAGACGACACACTCACAGACGACACTCTCACAGACGACACACGTGCTCACAGACGACACACGTGCTCACAGACGACACGCTCACAGACGACACGAGTGCTCACAGACGACACAGATGACACGCTCACAGACGAGACGCTCACAGACGACACGCTCACGGACGACACACTCTCATGGACGACACACGCGCGCTCACGGACGACTCACCGTGTACTTGGGGAAGCTGAAGATGGAGGGGAGGGAGTTGTCGCGGAGCCGCGTCGTCTGCCCCGTACGGTCAAAGCACGAGCTGTGGAAGTGCTTGGAGCACAGCGAGGTGTGGCGGCTCGGCACGAAGTTGATCCGCCGCACGCGACGCACCCACTCCCTGCGCCGCAGCGGGTCCAGCGGGAACCTTGGGGGGTCGTGGTGGAGGGGAGGTGATGTTCACACGCCGCAACAGGTTACTCATTTGAGTCGTGAGTCGACCTAGGGGAGGCCCAGGACCGGTTCGGATAATCGTCACTTGGTGTTGGCCGTGGGCAGGGGAAGTCGCCAGGTTCGGAGCTCAGCGTTAGAGCTAACCGCTACACCACCGCTCCCCACGTACGCACAGACACGTACGCACACACACGTACGCACACCTACACACACCTACACACACCTACACACAAGACAAAGATCCCCCGTATAGCCTTAACAGACTGTAGGGGCAAGTGCTGTTAGCGAGCACCTATGAAGGCCGGAACGGTACACGAGGGGGTGGGTGGCCAGCACCACGCCCGACCGCCTTTACACACCGCCCCAGGTACTCATTTGAGGCTGAGTCGACCTAGGGGAGGCCCGGGACCGGTTCAGATAATCGTCACTGGTGTTGGCCGTGAGCGGGAATCGAACCTACACACACACACCTACACACACACCTACACACAGCGGTGTTGCAGCCCGCCGCGTTGTGCACCGCCACACTTTGTGACTCCCTTGCACCAAGGGGATGTTGCCAGGGTGGGGACCGTTACCTCTGGCGCCCCTCTCGCCCCACGCACACCTCTCACTCGTCCGAATCATCGTCACCCATCGTTCACTTCGGAAGCTCGCCCGCCCAACCGCTCGCTCGCCCATCCACCCGCTCGCTCACCCACTCATTCGCTCACGCATCCACCCGCCCACTCACTCGCTCATCCACTCATTCGCTTATCCACCCACCCACTCGCCCGCCCGTTCGCCCGCTCGCTCACCCGCCCGCCCACCCACTCGCTCACCCACCCACCCGCTCACCCACTCGCCCACCCACTCGCTCACCCACCCACCCGCTCACCCACTCGCTCACCCACCACCCACTCGCTCGCCTACCTACTCGCTCACCCGGCCACTCGCTCGCCCACCCGCTCACCCGGCCACTCGATTGATGACCACTCGCGCACTCCGCCGCTCACCACGTAGTAAGCCCCCCCCCCCGTAGCTTCACAGCTGTTAGCCACCAAAGACAAAGATCCCCCGTGTAGCAGACTGCTGCGGCAAGTGCTGTTAGCGAGTAGCAGCAGCAGCTATGAAGGCTACCGGCACTGTGGCACACGAGGGGGGGTGGGTGGCCAGCAACCACGCCCGGCCGCCTTTGTCTCCCCCCAGTGGCGATGTTCACTACACACACAGCACCGGGTTATACTCATTTGAGGGCCGAGTCGACCTAGGGGAGAGGCCCACGACCCGAGTTCAAACAGTCGGCATCCTGAGCAGGAATCGAACTCTCGAGTCGCTCTCCGCGGTGCGCTAACCACTGCGCCACCGCTCCCTCAGTGACACTTCCCAACGCAAACCCCGCCACAACCACGCACGCGCGCCACCACCACCACACGCCCACAAAGATCCCCCGTATAGCCTCAACGAGCTGCTGGGGGCAAGTGCTGTGAGCGAGGTACACACACACACAGACACGCACACAGACACACACACAGACACGCACACACACGCGCGTACGCGCCACCGACTCCACACACAATTCACCTCAACAACACCGCGCGGCGCTCGAAGTTTAAAAAAAAATGAACACAACGAACGAATGGGCCCGACGTTTCGGGCGATTCCCCCCCCTCCTCCTGAAATCTCGCGCCGTTCCTCACGCACGCGCAACGGCGTTTAGACCGCGCGCGTAAAGACCCCCCCCCACCGTCGCCTAAGGCGCGCGGTCCACGCAACGCTCACCTGTGGAAGCTGATGTCGTTGTTCTTGCTTACCACGGACTTGCAGCCGAACGCCGCGCACGTCGTGGGCATCCTGGAGCCGGGATTTTACTTTTTTATTTTGTGGGGGGCGCCCCCCTCCCGCCCGCCTTGCGCGGGAAAACCGCGGGGGCCTCACGAACGCCTTGACTAAGATGGCGGCCGCGCGGGGCTTCTTCTCCCTCACCCCGGGGTCACGTGGGCACCCCCAAACGTGCCCCGCCCACAGCCCGCCCATCCACCCCGGTGGACGTCATCGCGTAGAGAGAGAGGGAGGGGGGTGAGAAGGAAACGTGCGACGTCACCGCGTCGAGCGCGGACGGGTCGACGCGTCGGCGGCGTGACGTCACCGCGTCGGCGGCGTGACGTCGGGCGGCGTAACGTAACCGCGTCGACGGCGTGACGGGTTTTTTCACCCCGCCCCTCTCTCGTCCCCACCCCCCAAAATGGCGGGAAATTTTTAATAGTTAAAATGTTGACTGAAACTTCAAATCTTAATTAAAATATTGACTGCTTTCTTGTTTTGACTTAAATCCTTCGTGACTGCAAGAATTCATATTCTTTGTGTCTATCGGTAAAGTCACGTAGACATGAAATAATTAAATAATAAAAATACAACATAAAATTCAATTATCACGACGTTTCGGCCACAACGCAAGCAGCCGTCTTCAGGTGAAGAAACAGAACTGTCGGAAATTGGAGCGCTGTCTTTCCGACAGTTCTGTTTCTTCGCCTGAAGACGGCTGCTTGCGTTGTGGCCGAAACGTCGTGAGAATTGTATTGTGTTTATTTTCATTATTGTATTGTTTCCCTTCTACGTGGTGACTTTACCGAAAGAACCAATAATATGAATCCCTGCAGTCAGGAAAGCTTTAAATCACGAAAGATAGGTTCAAGTAAAATAATATATCCTTTGAACCTATACAAAATATCGGCCGTTCTATAGGATTCGGGGAGGAGGAGTGCGTTATTGTCTTTGAACCTATGCACGTGACTTTACCGAAAGATCCAAAGAATATGCTTTATTGTTGTCAAATCGCTAAATTAACATTAAAACCTTGACTGCAGAGGTGACGGAATCGCCTAAAGGCGAACAGTACATTAAGGCAATGCGCGATCAGAGCATTATGCATAGGCTCGGGGTGAGCAGTTTCATTTCATTTTTTGTTCAGTTTTATTAATTTGGTATAGCCCTGTGAGCCATTCGGCTCTTGAATCGGGTGCAGCCACAAACAAACAAAAAACCAAAACATGAACAAGAAAACATCTTAAAGTGACTATGTGTTGTGACTGCGCAAAACAGAAAAATCCAGGAAATAAACAGCAAAAAATCTTCCGTAAAAAGCACCGTACACCACCAACGCTGTGTGCAAAAATCCCAGTGGGATGCAAGTCAAACAACAACAACCACAAGACAACTCAGATGAAAGCCATCATTCTAACTCCGAACTACTACAACAACTACAGCAGCTAGTAAATTGGACTTTTTTTACCAGTATCAAAGTATGAATAAATAAGGATGGCAATACAACAAATTTTGATTTAAAGCTTTCGTGACTGCAGGGATACACCCCTTCGTCCCATCGTCTCTACTATCAACTCCCCCACCTACAAACTGGCTCGTTTTCTGTCTGAAATCCTGCGGCCTTTCACTGGAAAAACCACCTCTGCGGTACAAAATTCTACTCACCTGGTATCGACAATCACGGGTATTTCCCTGTTCCCAGACGAACTGCTTGTCAATTTTCATGTAGTTTCCTTATTCACCAAAGTTCCTGTACCTAACACCATCGCAATCATTGAAGACTTGGTTCATCAAGGACTAAACACTTAGGTACCCCCCCTGGTGAGACACTGCTTAACCAATACATACTTCACTTGGAATGGAACTTTCTACAAACAAACTGAGGGCACCCCAATGGGCTCCCCCCTATCTCCAGTTGTAGCCAACATTTTCATGGAGAAATTTGAGACTGACGCCATCCAGACTGTCACTCTGCGCCCAACCTTATGGAAGAGGTACATGGATGCCACTTTTGTCATCTGGCCACATGGCCGGCCTGCTTTAGACAAATTCTTCGACCACATCAATTCCATAAACCCAGCCATCAGATTTACCATGGAAATCGAAAAAGATGCCAAGCTACCTTTTTTGGATGTCCTAATAAAAAAGAGACCTGATGGTTCAATGAGCCACTCTGTCTACAGGAAAGCTACCCATACGGATGCTTATCTGAAACCGGATTCCCACCACCATCCATCACAGAATAATTCTCTCATCAAGACTCTGTACCATAGAGCCCAATGCATATCCGACCAGGAACACATAGGCAGTGAACTCAAGCACGTACACCAAGCTCTTAAGGCTAATGGTTACTCCGACTATACAATCCGCAAAGCTATCACTCAAACCATGAAGAAGGACCCTCTTGAGGAGCCTTTCAAAACCATCACTTTACCCTACATTGCGGGGATCACAAAAAAGATCTCCAAAATCTTGAATAAACACAAGATCCAGGTCCGTTTCAACACATTACATAAAATCCGTGATCTCGTTCCGTCTGTAAAAGATGTGATTCCGGACATACAGTACCCTGGTGTCTACAAACTAAGTTTCCTCTGTGGTAGTAGTTACATTGGAGAAACCAAACGCCATGTCTCGGACCGCATTCGTGAACACAAAGGAGACCTTAAACACGGTAGGACCAACACCTCGGCCGTGGCAGATCATTGTTATAATTCAGTAGGCTCACGTGACATTGACTTTTCCAAGACAGAGGTTCTTTGTAAGCCATCTGGCTACCATGAGAGATTCGTTCATGAGGCTATCCACATATACAAGCACAGAGACAATTTCAACCGAGAAGATGGATTCTGGCTTAGCAATCATTGGAAGGATTTGATAAACCATTTCAGGTCTTAATTGATTGTTCACGCTTACGGTGGCTTTCAGACAGCGTACATTAATTTTTCGTCTCCCCCCTCCTCTTTTCAGAACATAGATGGACTCGTCCTTCTAAACAAACTGCCAAATTGCTGTCCTTGGTGCTAACGTTTAAAAATAAATTAATATAAACCGCCACTTCTTTCAAATGTTTCTTGCCGTTGGTTTTCACACCTGATGATGACCGTTTGTGTTATGGTCGAAACGTCGTGAGAATTTTGATTGTTTTATATATAATTATTTAATTGTTTCCCTTCAACGTGACTTTACCGAAAGAGCTAAGAATACAAAATAACATTGTCATCAGAGCATGTTTTTTTTGCATTTTCCGCGTACTTGATTCCTTAATGCTACAATATATATTTTTTTAATATCTCAACACCCGCTGTTGTATTCCCAGAAAGGGTTAACGCCTATTGTTATATTTTTTATATATATACTTTGATACTGGCAAAAAAGGTCCCATTCTAAATGTCATTGCGCATTAAACCCCCCCCCCCCGCGATTTACCTTGCGCAGTGACGTCATCACGCACAGCCGTGCGACGTGAGCCGTGCGTGGTGACGTCTTCACACACAGACGCGTGACGCGGCGTGAACCGTGCGCGGTGACGTCATCGCGCAACGGACGCGCGGCATGACGTAAAGCCGTGCGCGGTGACGTCACGCGCCCCTGCGCCCTGGCCCAGGGAAACCCCGTCGCCCTTTCTCTCTTTCCCTCTCTCAAGACGAGGCGACGTGCAGGTACGGCCGCTTCGCTCCGCGTGTCGCACCGCTCGCGCGTGATCGCCCCTCGCTCTCCCTTCCTCGTGATCCCCGCCGCGCTCCCTCGGTTCCACCGAGCGAGGGAGCGAAGAGACGAGGGAGGCGAGGGCTGTGGCGGACTGGCGACTACCACGGGGGTGGTGGTGGTGGTGGTGGCGAGAAGGCCGCGCGGAGCCCGAGCTAGGCCCAGGCTGTGTCTTGGGCCTGGTCCCTTTTACAATTAAAAGTTAAAAGAATATCAAGTTGCCTTCTCCCGACAAGTAGCTTATCGTATTGGTCTGTGTGTGTTTGGATTTGGCCGGGTGGTAAGTTATTTATTTTTACCAAGTTTTCTGTTAGGAACCCTCACGCAGTCGGGGGCGATATCGTAACGTTTTATCTCGTGTTACGTTTTATCTCGTGTCACGTTTTACACGGACACAACGGGCCTCACCGCCGTTTTGCTTGAGACTCGGCCAACTACTAAATTGTTGTTCATCCCTATAACGCGCGCTGGGGTTGCTTGTATTGTTAGGTCCGCGAGTTGAGGCGCGCGGCAAAGTTGCGTTGGGTTGCAACGTTGCAAGGCACCCGTTCGACCAACCCTTTTAAAGCTGCACCCACTGCGGCAGAGCCATAGACGTGGCGGAGGAGTACAGCACAACACCGGGTCGTGTTAGCGTAGCGTGGGGGAGCGCTGGTACAGCAGATGGCCATTTCCACACAACGTGGTAGCTATCGTCGGTGGAGATTCAATCATGGCCCTCCTTCACGAGTGCGACACCATCCCCCTCACGCGAGTACCTGGTGCGGTGTCGTTGACCGCTAGCACGGGGGAGACAAAGGCGGCCGGGCGTGGTTGGTGTTGGCCAAACCACCACCAAGCAATCACATCCCGTAAGCCATTATTGTGGCGCTCGCGAACAAAGCACTTGCCCCGGACAGCCGAGAGTGTGGGGGCTGCACGGGGATTGTTCCTTAAGCTGCAGTGCGGAAAATGTTAAGCGGACGTGGCTACAACCAGCATTGGACTTGCATAGAAATGCTCCCCACACACGCATATCGTCAATCCACCCGCTGGATGGAGAGTTCCTTTGCCCGTGGGGGTTGTCTCGCATTTGGTGGTCCAGGCGTGTTGCTAACGGCGATGGGGGGGGGGGACGGGGGGGGCGTACGGTGTAGAACCGGGAGTATAGAGGGTGCTTAATTTTTTTTAACACGTCTGAGAATTTGCAACACGATGCGCCTATCATCTTCTTTGGTTCTTTCGGTAACGTCACGTAGAATGAATATGTTTTACATTTGTTATCATGTTAGAGTTATTCGTTCTTTTTCCATTAAAAACGATAGTCCCATATAAGTGTTAACATTTTTCAAGCATCCTGTATATAACTCACAGTAGACTATAACAAGAATTGTCAATTTCCTCGGCTGGGATTATGCGTACCAATCACACCACCCACCCCCTACTGACACACCGATGCCCTGGGTCACTCTGTGGCATTATTCTGGCTCATCCTGGAAATAAAACATTGGTTAAGATGTTAAAACACCAAACTGTAAAAAGATGTTAAAACACCAAACTGAAACCTTTTGCAAGGACCAATCGCTTGCAAAGACGATGCATGTACTACCAGAGTATGTATTTTGTTTGCATGTTTACAAGTATATGTGGTTA